CGCAACCTGATGGGCCGACGAATGCTACCTTTGTGCCAGGTCGAATGGTGAACGAGACACCGCGGAGAATCGGACGATCGGATGTATAGCCGAAGTGAACATTGTCAAATCGGATTTCCCCTGGCCCATTGGAGACCTGAGGAGCTACTGTGTGAGAGCTCACGATCGGAGCCGGACTTGGCGTTGATCCAGCGGTAACCTGCAATATTTTCGCGTCCGCTTTTTCTGGAATCTTTGTTTCAATTCGTCGCAGTCTGAACAGAGTGTCCATATCGATCAAATTCTGATGCGTGTCTCGGTAGACCGTTCCCAAAAAGTTCAGCGGCTGCGATAGCTGGAAAACCAGGCCGTTCACCATCACAAGATCGCCGACCGAAAGGCTGCCCTGCAGCACGCCTTGCGCAGCCATCCACATCATCACTGTGAGCGACACCGAAAACACCGCATTCTGTCCAACGTTCAAAAATGCGAGAGATGACTGGGTCTTCAGCGCTGCTGCTTCGTATTTCTTCAATGCAACGGAGTACTGTTCTAGTTCAAACCTTTCATTGTTGAAATACTTCACAGCTTCGAAATTGAGCAGAGAGTCAGTAGCGACGGTCGCGGCTTGATTGTCCGCTGCGTTCATCTGCTTTCTAAACTTGGTTCTCCACGCTGTAGTTGCAAAAGTAAACGAAGCGTAAGCTACCATAGTCACGACCGTCACCGCAGCATACGAAGGGCCGAAATTGTATCCAAGAATACCACACACTAGAGCAATCTCGAAAGCAGTCGGCGCAATGTTGAAGACAATAGAAGACAGAATTTGGTTGACGCCCTTAGTTCCACGATCAATCGCACGCACAAGACCTCCGGTCTGACGCCCAAGATGGAAAGACAAGTCGAGCTTTTGCAAATGATAAAATATCTGCGAAGAGGCGGACTGGATCGCACCCTGCGCAACACTGCTAAACACCACGTTGCGAAGTTCAGAAAACAGCGCGGCTCCGAGACGTGCGGATCCGTAGCCGATCAGCGATGCGCCTGCAACTACCATTACGGCGGTTCCCGGGTCCGCCGGAATCACCGCATTCAACGCATTTACAGTGTCTCTGAAGAAAAACGGAATGTAGACGTTGAGGAGTTTCCCGCTGACGAGAAGGCCTAGCGCAGTGAGGACTCGAGTTTTTGTCTCCCAGTTTCCCGGCGGCCATATGTACTGGAGCAAGTCCTTGACGATCTCCCAGTTGATTTGGGATCCCTGTTTTGCTTTCGCCGGTGTTGCTGTCGGAACAACCGCTTCTGGCTTCTTAGATGGAGGCACTTGCGGTGATGATGGAGATGGTGTCGAACTCAGATATCTCTGTCCCCAAAGCTTGATCGGTGATGATGCAACAACACAAGGTGCGGATAAGGTCAGGGGTGGTCGGCTCATCCCCATCAGTGAATGTGAATGTGCAGCAGCTGCACCCCAAAGCTTTCCGTACGGATGCCGCATTCGCATGCATCCTAGAGCTACCGCCATCATCGTAACGTGCCGAAAGCACAGATTGTCAGTCCGGAATGGCGTGACTGTCCCCTCAACAGTCTCGTGACCACGGGATTCTCACGAATCACAAAGCACTCATCAGGTCCAACCCTTCTGTTTTGTCGTTCTGTTGCAGATCACTTGCAAAATGATGATCAGAATTTAATTTACAAGTTGAATAGAGCGTCTCCAACAGAATCCCCGAGTTAAAGCTGCAATCCATTCCTCTACGATGCGAAGCTGTTCTCGTTTGAATTGTATCTCTTCGCGTTTGATCCACCAACTCTATAAACCGATTATTAGACACTTGCTGCTTCGCGATTACTCAATGTTGCGTGTATACCTTGTTTCTTTTGACGTTTCAGTCCCCCACGCATTTTGAGGACATTTACCGTGCGATCTGTCCTGAACCATCGTGCTGAACTTCGTTGCTGACTGATGTACACCTATTTTAATAAAAATCGATTCTGTAGTTCTCAACGCAGCGCTTACATTACCCGCTAACCTTTTCTCGATCTGAATCGATTGTTGAGCGGCGAAGTCGTTTCGTTATCAACGCAGTCCACGTACTGTCCTCCATTGTCCTCAGCCCTCTGATATGATATGATTTTCTCGACCGCGACTTCTCTGGTGGAGATAGTATCTATATCAAATCGCCACTCACTTCAGCTCCATTCCACACCGCTACCGAAGAAGATTTAGCGTACAGTGAAGTAGACACGGTCGGTAGTCTGATTCTTCAAGATCGCGAAAAGTTCTCTTCCATCTGCCACGAAGTTCACTAGCTCCATCATGATCACAGGTTGATCTACCACCACGGACGTTTCAATTGCATCGTCTGAAGATCGCTTTCTTTATGTGATTTCGACAGATCTTTCGGCTCCATTTGAGATATTGCAACTTCATTTTCCAGCAAGGACGTTTCTAGCCTATCGTCTGAACTTCGTTTCGTTTGCGTGTCTTTGAAGGATTCCCCAGTTTGCTCAGCTTCCCTTGCGAAGTTGTCCATAGAATGAGGAGGTGAATGGACACGTGTGCTGTCTCTGATGGAGAAAATTGCTGTCCTAATACTCTGGAATGTAAGTCTCTCTGACGTATTCAGGGAGCTTGGCTCCCGTGTTGAGCAGAACAATAAGACGGGAGATTCTTGTACACACAGATTGGCATCTCTGGTTTTTCCATTGGAGTGCCCTAAGCCGAATCAGCCAAAGAGAAAGTGAAATTACCTAATATGACAATTTCGACAAAATTTCAACCGGATACAGCTGTGTCAGACACTTCAAAATTTGTTGCGATTCAACAAAAACATATTCTTAGTCCGTCTCATACCACACACAATGAGGATAACAAATCTTGCTGTTTTGATACTGTTGGTGTGCCTTCCACTTGTCAGCTCGAAAGGTTTGTAGCAGATATTTCTTTCGGCGTAGAAGGCTCTCTCACTGTTCCGTGGATGACAGGCGGAGGTGGCGGTGGGAAAGGTGGAGGCGGCGGGGGTAGCAGAGGAGGAAGCAGCGGTGGAAGTAGCGGAAGTAGTAGTAGTGGAGGCAGTAGCGGTGGAAGCAGTGGAAGCAGTAGTGGTTCCAGAAGTGGTGGCTCATCATCGTCAACAAACAGGGTAAGCAAATGGGCTTCTTGCCTTTTATCACAACCACTCTCACTGTATCAATTTAGGGAACATATGTAAGTGCGGGCGCTTGGTGCTTTTCAACGACTAAATCCATTTCCACTCAAAATTGAATACCAGTCATCAACGGTCAGTTCACGATGATAGTCCGTTGCTCGTCCTAAAATTGAATTACTAACCGATCCATGGTGTATTCTCAATTTTAAAACATCAAGGGCGTTTATGTAAGTGCTCGTTGATCATAAAAACCGGGTTGCTAACGTCAAGTTCGCAAAACAGTACCCATATTACCCGATTGGTTGGCCATATTTAAATATTCGCCGTGAATGTAGATCTGATTTAAACGATTTTAGGTCCTTCCTACGGCTGGAATTACTATCCTGTTGGAGGGTACAGGGTTTATCGCACAGATGCTTGCAAAACCAACAACACCGGTAAGTTCCATTTCCATGCTGCGAATACCCAGTTTGCTTATACTTTTTCAAGTGGTCATAGTCAACAATGAGGCGTACGTGTGTTCAGAGTTCTTACGGTGCGTGTCCGATAATGCCACAATCTATACAACAGCGAACGTCCCGCACACATGTTACGAGGTTTCAGTGTCGCAAGTCTACGAAGCACAACTGGAAAGCGCAAACTCGGGTGACCTAAGCGGAGGCTCGATTGCTCTTATTGTCCTCGGATCGCTTGCAGGACTCTTTGTCATCGGGTTATTGGCATACATGCTGCAGAAGAAGTTGCGCAAGAGGAATAAGTCGAAAACAAAGTACATGGAGCACGGAATTGTCCCACCCCCTTCCGTTTCAGGGGCCAGTGATCACTACTACGATTCAAATCCCGTTACGTATGTTGAGGATGATGAAGCGAAACCATTGTACTCCTCCGATGCATCGTGGAACAACGCATCTTACTCGGACTACGATCGAGCGAAAGCTTACCAGTCTCAATTTCCGCCTCCGAATGACCCGACCCCAACTGCCGACCAGCAATGGATGATCCAGAACCAGGGAATCGGCGCGTGGGCTTTCGTGACGGATGACCCTGCCAACGTATCGACAACTTTGTCCGCTGGTTCCAGCAATCCCGCGGCTACTGGCTACTCTGAAATAAAGGTCGGAGTGCAATTCCACCCTTCCCAGACCGGAACCGACCTCTCCGTCATGTCTGAGCTCCCGCTCGGGCTTGATCCAAACGGATTAGCGATGAAGCGCGAGTTCTATTACTTTGAAGTGACTGTGGAAGAAACGTCGTATAGCCCTCATGCCACTATCATCTCAGTTGGTCTCGCTACTCGCCCGTATCCTCCGTTTCGCATGATCGGCCACAACAAGTTCTCTGTCGGGTACCACTCCGACGATGGGCACTGCTTTGTAAATGACACTTATGGTGGACGCAATTTCGGATCACCGTTCTCGCAGGGGAGTGTGGTTGGCGTTGGATATGTGTTTGGGACCGGCGCGGTGTTTTTCACTCTTAATGGGACGCTAGTGGGAGAGGCGACAATGCTCGAGGAGCGAACTTTGCATCCTTATTGCGCGGCCATTGCGTCTGATGGACCTGCTAGGCTGTCGGTGAATTTTGGGCAGGCACCATTTGTATACGCTAACGCGAATCCAACGTTGATTTGATCTTTACCAACTCCTGTTCAGCTGTGCCCATGAGTTATCCCCAAAATTGATTATGAGTACATCAAATGAGTTCCAGCTGGGCACCAGTTTTGCTGCATTTTTGGTGACTACCACTATAAAAGAAACAGATTCTACCGTGTAATACATCACAGAAAGCAATGAGTTTGTACACATCTACCCATATTGCAAAAGAGGAAAATAGAACCCAAGTTCAGAGGCTTATCAAAATGCACATTTCTCCGGCTTCTCAAATTTGAACTGGGCACTATTGGTGACATATTGATTACAGCCAATCGCTACTACCAACTGAGCTAAAGCTGGACATATATCTGTGACATTACTAATTATCGCCCCAATTACTCTTTCGTGTGTTGCCCAAAAAATTTTTGAGCGAGCTTTGTTGCCACATCTTTATTCTGCTATCACGTCTCAACGCCCACTTGATGCTGCCCAAGCGGGATTTCAGTCACACCGCTCGGGAATGGAATGTGTTTTTGGTCTTCAGGCATGTATCTCCTGTACGTCTAATGCCAAGGTTCCTTGGGTTGCTGGTTTTTTAGATATTCAAGCAGCTTATGACACCACAAATCGTGCAATTCTTTGGGCTGAGTTTCTTTCTAGGCGAGTACCGTTGCCATTTGTTTTTGTTTTGAGGTCTCTGTTTGATTTTTGTTCTTCCAGAGTGGTTGTTGTAAATTGTTTTTCAGATGCTTTTGAGTTGATCAGAGGTTTGTTTCAAGTTCTGTTCTCAGTCCACTTCTCTTTATCACTTTTCTTGATCCTCTGCCTGGGCTCCTCTGACCCTCCTATAACACTCTTTCATCCTGCCAAACCATGATACAATTCTTTTTATTTGCAGATAATTTGGCTTTGTTTACACTTACTTTGGATGCTATGGAGGTTCTTCTCTCTGTTTGTGAACAGTTTGCCCAAGCTCGTGGTTTTCTTTTGCTCCTTTGAAGTCTGTAATTCTCACAAGAACTCCCATTCCTGCTAATTCGCCTTTGCTTCTTCATGGTCAAACCGCCTGTCAAGCCTCCATTTCGTTATTTGGGTTGCTTTTTCGGAGATACTGGATTCGATGTTTCACTGACTGTTTCCCATCGACTTGCTAAGCTCGTGCAGCTTCATTTGCTTTGCTTTCTTTTTCAAGGATATTTAGTTCTCATTCTCTGGTTGTGGTTCGTCATTTGTTTTTGTCTTTTATTCGACCTACACTTGAAATTGGTTTACATGCTATTCTTCCCTCTGTTGCTGTTTGCAAACCAGTTCGGACTTTTATTCACCAAAGTTTGTGTAGATTTCTTCACCTTTCATTTTCCTCGTCAATTGCTGGGGTTTTGCTGTTTTTAAGTTTCCTGACTTTCAGTTCGGGCTTCAATATCTGCAGTTTCAGGTGTTTCAGCGTTGGTTTGATGATGATGCCCCTGATATGGTTCACTCTATGTTGTCATTCTTTCTTCACCATTTTGGATCTGGGAAATCAAATCAGCCCACATCTTTACAAGCCTAGCGCAAAGTATCTCAATTAACCGTCCTTTCATCCAACTCAGAATGCAACCTGGTGCAAGTCTCACATATAACATGATGATGCTTGTGCAGCAACTTCATGCAGCTGGAAAGAAGATCAGCACCAAGGATCACATCCTCCAACTCCTTCAGTCCTTACGTGTCGAATACGATCCTATAGTGTTGACTCTTGAAGCGAGATCCAGCCTTATTATCCTACAAACATGTAATTGGTTGATTTTTGGACCAGGAAGAAAAGCTCAAAGATCGAAACAGTTCTGGTACTTCAAGTCAGAATGGAAGCCAGGGATCTGGAAGAGCTCGAGCCTCTATAAGTTGATTCTCGATCAAGATGGGCAATGGGAAAGTTGCCATCAGTAAACACAGACATGGTGTTGTTGCAGTCAGAACAAAGAAAGATGGGTACTACACACTCGATCAGCTGAAGCAGACAAGAGGAGTAGCTGCTGCCATCCTGAAAACATAGACAAACATGACAATCCACCGATGCAGTACATGACAATCCACCAATGCAGTACATGACAATCCACCGATGCAGTTGCATGTACAAATGTGACATGTCTGTTTCAAAGACGTCAAACACCTTGCAAACGGTTTGGCATCAGTACTTTGGTCAATGTACCTGGACCTGACCCGAAAGAGCCAAAAACCCGCAGATCCTTAATCCATGGGCGAGGCTGAGAATAGGATTATTTCTTGAAGAGGATAGTCCCCTGTTCCGCTTGGTGATGTAGTGTAGGAAATGTTCCTAAATTTCTTACCTTATTGGAGCTGTTCTTGTCCTCTTTGCTGCAAAGAGGAAATTTCACTGAATACTTGAATGCAATCTTTTTGAGTCTAAGATCTAAAGAGTCCTTCAAAGGATCTCAAGCAACAACAATAGTGAACAAGCGCGACCCAACAGCTACGTAATAACCCGGCTCACCAACAAAATCATTCAAGCCAAATGAAGGTAAAGTGTTGAGAAGCGCTTCGATATAAGGTGGTTAGCTGAGCCTGCACAGGCTTATCAATTTAATCAGGAGTTGTCAATGGTCCAACAGTTGAAAGCTAATTCCTTTGAAGCGAATTTCAATTTGCAGAGTGCACAGCTGAAATGCTCAACCACAGGTGAAGCTTCACTTTTGTCAACACTAAACTAACAAAGAAATATTGCAAAAGAAAAGGATGATCGGAACCCCAGGCGGGAGTGCCTTCATTTAGCCGGCCGCATATTAATATGTTTGTGTTTGGGAAATGGCAGTGTATCTTCCTGCCCATCTGCACGTGATCACACTCTTTCATTCACCCGAGCCGGACCTGTTCTCTAGGAGACACCCCAGATCAATCAGGACATGAAGAAGTTCACCAAGACATGTTAGTTTCGAATGGCTGCTTGGAGTTGTCGAACCGTGTGGTGATGAAGACCATGACAGCCTGTTTCGGACTTGTCGCGCCTCCGACCACTGCCTCGCCGAACCACACCGCGGATAGAAAATCAGCGACAAAATTTGATTTTTTTTGTAGATATTCTTCGTTTTTTATATGCGGACCAGCAGGGCATAGCATCGCACCAGCACCGCCATACTAAAAAGAAAAGTAAAAGCAAAACGGCTTTTGCGGTAGCTTCACCTCAAGTGACGTAGCCGAAGCATCGTTTAAATTATCACTTTCGTTCCCTCATCAGTCATTCTCATCACCACCTCCGAAAATTATTCGTCCTCCAATTTATGGATGTTGGCAGAATTGCAGTCCCCCCTCACTGTGCCTAAGTTGAAGAAGTCCAGCATGCCAACTCAACAACCTACGAAGAAGCGGCACCGCGCAACACCTTCTCAGCTGGTAGTTCTCGAGTCTCACTTTCGGTATGATCCTTCACCCACGCCGGAGACGAGGGAGGAGATTTCGAAGCGAATCCAAATGAACGAGAAGTCGATCCACATTTGGTTCCAGAGTAAGCTCCAGCAATCCTTCTTGTAGTGTCTTTCTCAAAATAATAATGTGATAGACCGAAGAGCAAAGGAGAAGTTCTTGCGAAGGCAGGGTCGCCAACCGTCCGTTCCTCGTGACCCCAATGTGCCATCTCCATCAGGATCCGCCGCTCCTTTGCGCCTAAACGGAGCCTCTGCGTCTCCAGAGTCTTCTGCTTCACCACCTTCTACGACTTCTGCTCTTACACCTCCCAGTTCCCTCTGTACCATGCGTATGTCTTTCAACTTTGCCACCCTCTAAGGGGCTAATGCTGTTTGATATAGCTGCACTGGCTCAGATTGCTATCACCTCTACAACTTTGGATATTGGGACATGGCACCGGATCTTGACACCAGGAAGAGACAGTTGCTTTGCCAACATGGTTGACAAAACGATCGAGTACCTCATTGCCGAAGGGAACTCGAAGTTTAAGCTCGCGTACCCGATGAGCAACATTGCTGCAATGGTGCTTGATACAACAGGTGGATCCGTTGCTGGTCGTGGCTCGTCGTATTGTGCAGTCCTTGCATTTACCCTCTGTAAACCTCCGATTTGCTACATGGCGGTTCCGAGCACAAACCGCTCTGACGCTGTACGATGGAGTGAAACAAACGATTTTACCGAAGCCCGCCAGTCCAGTACTGTTTTGATTCATACCATCACTGGCCCCCTTGTACAGCTCGCCAGCGACACACGCTTTTTCTTAGAGATGGAGCCATCGCTGAAGGGCCGATTCCTTGAGCGATCGGGACCCCCAATGTCAACACAGCCGGGTCTGTCAACCCTCCCGTCACTCCCTCATCCTCAAGAGTGCCAGCCTTCGAACAGATTTCCCCCCGGATTTGCGGCTCCGCTCATTGGTACCCACGGAATCTCTTCTCCAGAGGCCAGCCCTCCGATCTCCTCCGCTGCCCTTCCTTTTACCACGTTGGCAACGACGAACTCTATTTTCTCAACTATGCCTCCCCACTACATGTCGTATTATTCTGCTCCATCGCACACAGCGGTAACCTTCCCTGGAGGGCAGCTTTACATTCCCCCGCCTCCTCCGACAACCATCTACCCTTCTGGTTCCGGAGATTATATGCGACCGCCCTCGATTTACCCTACCGGAGACCCTGGTTCATTCACCCCTCCGCCCTCGCTTTACGCATCTTCTGAATCTGCGTTGTCGTTTCTCACACAATCAATGGACCACGACCCCGGCTCTCATTGCAACCCTGCTGTTGTTCCGGTGCTCGGAAATCTGTTGATGCCGTACATGACTCCCTCCGCTGCAAACCCAATGGCATCTTATGAGATTCCGAAATCGGACTTGCTTCGTGTTGGGAACAATCATACCATATTCAGCACGAACCCAGGCGCATCCAACGATAGTGGTGTCATGCAACCTCCCTTCAACCCGTAAATTGGCCGGGTATGATTGTTACTCGGCGGTAAGAGTGACTGTGCATATACTGGCCGACCTTCATACGTTCACATGGGACAGCAAGATATATCATCCAAATTTAACTTCCTGCCTCCTTTCATCATCATCAAACGGACAATTGTTTCTTCAATTTCGTATTCGGTTCATTTTTTTTGTTCGCTCCTGGGGCAATATCCCCTTGCATATCGTTTTGAGAATGCGGATCTATTTAGTACAAGTTGAGCTTTGGACGATACACAATTCGCATTCTTCACTCACCTTCTTTTACCGTCACTTTTTTTGGGTGGTCTATCATGGCATTTCCACCGGCCGTCGTCTCTAAGTGTTTCTTTTGAGCTGATACGACGGGAGAATAGCTAACCACCTGAAGGAAATTGGCAGTCGCTTTCTGGATTTCTTCCTTCACCGCATT